ACGGTTAAAGTTTCTTCACAAACACATTACGCAAATTTGTATCAAGTTTTGCATTGCAAATTTTTGTGTAAGCAAATATGGAACGTTGCGTACAATTTCGCAGAACTCACAAACTTCGCAAGTCCCGAAAGAGCAGTGTAATTCGAGATCGATATTCGTTTTAGGAGGCGAGCCTGTTTAGGAATTGGGACGCGCTCCGTTCACAATGGCCCCGAAATTGTCGGCAACCATCGGTCGTCAGAAATGCATTACTGTTGTCAACACACGCTAAATATCGGCACACGCGCGTTCGCATTTACGCTCCGAAATATCATTACAAAGAGTGCGTACACGTGCGTTTCTCGAAATTTCCTGAGTCTTAATAGTAAAAAAATAATTTAATGTAATTCACTTGAGGTATTTTAGACAATGGAGAATAAAATAAGTAGAAGTCCACGGTTTACTAACGCTATCTGTGTGATTATTTTAAGGCAGAGTCCTTTCATTTGATTAAAACAATTCCTTCGTTTCGAACATCCAAGTAAATTGGAACTGGGTTTTAAAAATTATGTATGAATTATTAACCACAATTATTATGTCTACTTATTCGGAATTTGTTTCAAGTAAAAATTTGTTACATTAATAACCGGAGGTTTGTTAATACGAATCGTTGGGCTATAAATTAATGTACCGATACTTAAGTTGGTAATTTTCGGAAGCATAAAACATGTGCTTAGATGAAGAAGACTGATAAGTCCAACAACTGCGTCATCCTTAATTCAAGTCAACTAATGTAATTGATTCGACACTTGGACCACACGTTGCTTTACCTACACTTAAGCTTATTTTACGGGATACGTAGAAAAGCTGTTTCAACGGGATATCTTAAGTTCTGCACCGTTCGCCTGTTAATAAAATTAACTCCGTGTAGGAAATGTTATATTTTTAGGGTTCCGTTCCCAAAGGCTAAAACGGGATTCTATAACTAAGACTTCACTGTCTGTCTTTCTTTCCGTCTCTCACCAGGCCGTATCTCATGAACCGTTATAGTTAGACAGGTGAAGTTTTTACTGATGATCTGATGCCGCTATAACAACAAAATACTAAAAACTAGAATAAAATAAAAAATGGCTCGCATACCAACTACGCGACGTGGTTGCTAGGTAACCTGTCAGTACTTACTAATTAGTTTATCGTATAAATTTTAAATTTAGATTATTTTGTAGGTAATTATTTAATAGTAGGCATTAAATACCTATTACAGTATCCTTGAACGTTTAAGTGGAATAATGATACGGAACCATTCATGTGCGAGCCCGACTCGTACTTAGCTGGTTTGTTAATCCTAGATAGCGTTGGCAATCGCGTGCACTTCTAGTAGTTAATAAAACAATCCGTTGACCTGTAGCTTACTAGATTACACCAGAATCTCGGGTTTCTCGTATACCGAACGATCTCAGGTTTCTAGTGTTCTGAAATCAATTTTCCCTGTCTTTTTGCAATGTTTGACTCTTTGTTCGCGTCGAACAATAATTTGAAATATTTATTACTAGAGAACCCGCACCGGCTTCGCGCGGGTACAATATATTATACATATAAACCTTCCTCTTGAATCACTCTATCTAGTAATAATAAAACCGTTTAAAAACTTTTAAGTTAAACGGTTTTATTTTATGTTTTTTTTTTTGTTAAATTTTTTTTGTTAATATTGTATTGTCATCTAAATTAAATGTGTGTACCAAATTTCAGATCAATCTGACAACGGCAAGGTGCTTAAATTTCAATTTCTGATTTTGACCCAAACAAACAAATTCCGTACGGGTCGAGCTAAATAAAACCGTTTAAAAAAAGCCGCATCTAGATCCATTGATCCAGTTTTAAAGATCTAAGCAAACATAGGGACAGACAGACAGCGGGATGACTTTGTTTTATACTATGTAGTGATGTATTCCTAAACATGGGACTCACGGTGCAATAGCATTATCGAATTTATTACCATAAGTCAATTTCTGAGATCATCTAATATATAAAATTCTCATGTCACGGTGTTTGTAATTGAACTCCTCCGAAACGGCTAGACCGATTTTCGTGAAATTTTGTGTGGATATTGGCCAGGGTGGAGAATCAGACAACATCTATTTTTCATCCCCCTAAATGTTAAGGGTGGTCCACCCCAAACATTTTTTTCTAGCCTAAAAATAATTTACATGACAAAAAAACGTTTGCTGGTTCAGCTAGTATCTTATGTAATGATGCAAGCTTGTGATTTACACAAAGGTTCTACAAAATCCCGTCATTACTCCAAAAGCAAAGCCCGTAAATTATTTCTCAGGCTTTCTCTAAAATGTTTCGAGGCGTTGATAAAAATTAATTAATGTATAATAAAAACCTTTCAGTACGCAACTCATTTACATTTTAATTTGTTGTGCCAGTGCTTCTATTTTTATGTAATTAGCAGATCCAACACAGGATTTTATTTCTATAATCGTTATAGAAATTCTTTATATAAAATCACTCGCAACCCACCCGGCTTCGCACGGGTGCAAGGTATTATACATATAAACTTTCATCTTGAATCACTCTATCTAGTAAACAGAACCATTTACTAGATAGATGATAGATCCGTTGCGTAGTTTTAAACATCTAAGCATACATAGGGACAGACAGACAGCGGAACGTCTTTGTTTTATACCACGTAATGATATAGCCATTGACTGACAAGACATTGGACAGGGTTAAATTTTCAACATTTTTGATTAAAGAGTTAAAGGGGCGACGTAAATGGCTGTAGCCACCGAATTAGTTTTCGAAAAATTATACGTGTACCATTTAAAACCGATTTACACCGACTTTAGCTCGAGATCTTAATAACCCTTACTAACCAGAAATACTGACTTTGAAAACCAGAATTTGAAAACTCTGTCGTCAATATTTTGTTCACGCACAGTCTATCAGGAACCCAAATCAAATCAAAAATCTTAAATCGTACAAGTATGTCTAAGAAAATGTATTTATTGATAATTATACAACAGTACATTTTGTAGGTACGGTACTATAAAAGAACAAAGGAAACTCAATATCAATGTTATATGTTGATAAAATAAATATCCGCACTTCGTATTAAATATACTACTCGTATTTTCATCGTCGATTTCTTGTAAGAAGAGAATTTTTCCGTTCTATTTCAAGCCTATGATATTGATTAAAGATTTCAAACGAAACATGATAGTTGTTAACGAAATATATTTAAATGGCATTGAATAAAAAATAATAAAACATACGAAATGAAGTCCTTATATCACAATTCTCGTCGTTTTAAATGAATTGTGGACATTTAAAGTATTATAGTCAAAGATAACTAGTATACCTCAGTAGAATCTGCATTATTGGGGTAATATTGTAAATAAAATAGAATAAACAAAAAAAGAACATATATACTACTAGCGGACCCGACAGATGTTGTTCTATACACACGTATTAAATCCGAATCCGTGATTTAGATTTAATTTGTGATTCTAAACCATTCGCGAATCCACGTGAACACACAAAAATTCATAAAAATCGTTTCAACTATTTAGAAGTAGTTCAGTCACACACGCACAAAAGAATTATATATATGTTACGGACCAAACCCAATTTCAGGACAAACTAGTTTAAATGTTTCTAGCCTCAATACAATAGAGAAAAACTCTACATTTGAGTATGACCTTTTATTTTTTCCTCTATGAATAGTTTTCGCAATAGCCGTTCCAAATATTTTTATTAATTGATAGGTTAATGCTTTATATTATAATGGTATTATTTGTATAGCATTAATGAAAATTAATACAGTGACTTGTTTTTGTTGCCAGGTATTGTTTAATAGTTGCAATTAATATAAGTTGCAATAAAGAGTAATTGGCCGTTCTTTAATACAACCATGCCAACGAATATACGTTTTCATTTTCCATCATTGTACTGTGGTCAGTTATTCATCAACTTTTACTGAAATCCCTTCAGGTTAATTACACATGACATACAAATGAAAAATATTATTTCCTATCATTTTTTATTGGCTATGAAACATTCAGAAACAGCTTGTTCAATCTTATGCTACATTAAACTTGTTGCCATTTCTTTTTTACTAGAAAGTTTTAAAATTCGAGATCTAACTTTCGACTAGACCTCTATCATCCCCTTAAAGTTCATCTTTGTTAGGATTTTAAGTATTTTAATCGGTTTTGAGGGAATCATGAAAAGATTTCAGTGATCTTTAACTGTCTCAAAAACTACTTGATCTGACGCTGGATGTTTTACCTTGATAAACCTACGTTTAGACAGTTCGCACTGAACTTACACTGGTTCTTACGAATGTATTAAGCAAAGAATGGTTAGAAAACTGACCTTGATCTATTTCAGAACCCTTCAAACATTTTGCAAATTTTTGAGGATGAAATATTAGTGGTGTGTAACATCTCACTCTATTGGATGTACTCGTCACTCGACACTCGAAAAAGTTTTATCAGAATAAAAACGCGGTTAAATCGTATCAACTTAAAACGGTCCATTGACTACGTTAACTATAAAATAATTTACTACACAAGTATCGTAGTCATCGAAGATTATATTTAAAAATTTCTTCCAATATAGTGTATTCCTTTAGTAATTATAAAACCAGGTTGGTATCAAATCCGATAGAAGAATTGGTATTCTTAACGAGTTACGTTGAATAGGAACTGTACTGTAATAATTACAATGTAATTTATCCGTCTGGCGCGGGCTCTACACTGGATTTGGAGAGAATCGGACAGATCTTGTTTAATCCTAAAATAACAACGAATGCTTATTAACCGCGAAAAACGCTCTAAAACAACTCCACTGGCAAATTAAAAACAAACTCACCCGGTTAACTCAGGCCATGTCTGTTCGTCCGACAATCGAACGGAACAGCGTGGGCATATCAAATGTAAGCGAGCGTAATCAGAGCGGAACCACACTCGCGACTCGTACGGTCACACCGAACTGCACTAATACAAAAGGGCATGCACTGCGGCCCGCGCGATCGAGCTAAGTTCAAGGGTCTCGATGGCAACGGGTCTGTGGCGGGGCGTCCCTCGCGCCTGGCGGTCGTTCGTCGACTGCCGTCTATCCGCGGAGCGCGCAAGCCCGGTGGAGACGACCACCGACTTAATCCCCAGCGGATAAAGTTAGTGGCATTTTTCAGAACGTCCTAGTAGTGCGGGTAACTTGCTGTGCAAGTTTTGGTGGGATGTTTCAGGCGGGCCACTGCCGGCCTGGCCCACTGCAGACCTGCGTCGCGATTCGTGGGTTCGATACCCGAACGAGTATTTCTCTATGTATAGTTTTTGCTAAACGTCTCTGTGGTACGGGAAGATATTATTTGGTAAATGTTTTTAAAAATAAAACTTACTTTATAACCCTTTTAGATGAAGAATGAAATACGTGTCTAATTAAAAATCATCATCAGCATCATCATCATTTCAGCCTGTAGGTTTCCACCGTTGAATATAGGCCTCCTCTAGGGATTTCCATTTCGATCTGTTTGAAGCGGCCTGCATCCAGCGAAGTCCCGCAACTTTGGACGACGACCTGTCCAAAGTTAAAAATCATTTACAATTATTTAGTAAAGTGAACAAATCAACTCAAATTTGATTTATTTTGAAGAATATTCGAACTCAAATGATATCGCTAGCTTTCGAATTTAAGTTAGCATATGTTTTAAGCAAAGTGGAACAAAAAGATTTACTCAACCAGATTCCATTGTCAACTCAATAGCAGGAGAGGTGTTATACTCTCGTTCATTCATTAAACTAGCTGATGCCCGCGGCTCCGTCCACGTGGATTTCGGTTATCGCAACCAAAAGCAATGATGAAATTTTGATCCCGTCGGATGGAACCTCTTCCAGGGATAAACAGTAGGCAATACGGTGCGAGGGTAGGGCTGGCGATTGCATCAAGCGAAGCGAAGTGCTTGAATTTTACTGTCGCATCCGTGATTTTTTGCGATTACTCCTAAGATATTCGGTTATATTACATGGTTTCCAATTAACGCTTTATAATTGCCCATTTTTTAAAGTATTAACACGGATATAGTAAATTATACTTAAGAGATAGATATATGCCAATGCAGCCTTTTTGTGTTGTCCTTTGTTAGATACACAATTCCACCATACAATCATTTTGTTAAATCTCAATGGGTTTTTGTTGTAACCTCCCACATGGCTTATTTTTTTCCGACACCTTCAACAAATATCATTACATTTTATACATATTAAATGAAACTACTTCACGGATTTTATCGCGTTTTTTATTTTAATTTAAATTCCCGACGTTTCGAATCCTTTCCAGCGTTCATGGTCTTTTTTCTTGATTTTACGCGAATATTATACATATTAAATGAAACTACTTTACGGATTTTATCGTGTTTTTTATTTTAATTTAAATTCCCGACGTTTCGAACCCTTTCCAGCGTTCATGGTCATACATTTTATATACAAAAACTTGACAAAATATATACCTAAGCCTTCCTCGCAAACCACTCCATCCATTGGTGAAAAAAGCATGAAAATTGGTGGAGTAGTTAGCAGTTTGAGTTTATTACGAACAGACAGACAGACACGGTGGAGGACTTTGTTTTATAATATGTGTTGATATGATAGTGATGATGATTTTATTTATAGATTCATTAAGTGCTCCTGCACTATTCGAGCGCTTAAAAGAGTTGAAAATTTGTATTAAATATTATTTCAAACATTATACTGATCGTATGTTCAATACTTGCCATATTAAGAATTATAATTGATAGTGAAGTGTCGTCATACTTTTTTCAGTAAAAATATAGATTTATAAATACAAATTATAGATATACAAACACGCAGACACGAGAAAACCTCTAGCTTCATCACACTATATTTTCCAGTAGTGGGGATCACAGCCACAAAATCTGGCGCAAGAGAATAAATAGGCCTGCTATCCACTAAACTGCTTTCATTAAATAAACACACAGTTAAATTTTGCTGGATAAGAAATGTCGCGGTGATTTACGATTAATGATTTTCCGTAGCGGCTTGTAAAGGGATCAGTTATACTGGCACTCAAACGCTTTCATGACATTACTGCGATATTAGTTTTATGTGATTCGTAAAGTACCATATGAAGATAACCTAAAGTTTTTCTCATACAATGTTATGTAAGAATTAAAAATGTTAAAATGACAGGTTGCTTGGTTAGCGTTATTTTAAACAATTTATTTTGTAGTGACAGGCATATGGAATATCTGATTCTGGCCTAATATCCTCGTTTGAGGTACAAGGTGACTAAAGGGAGGGTGGTAGGGCCACGAAGCAATCTCGGCTGTTGCACGAATGGGCAGGCTCGTCCGGGTAAGTACCACGACCTCACAGAAGACCCGCGTAAAGTGGAAGTATAATACTTTCGCGTTTCGTCTGGTTAGTGAGGTGGCCGGAGCCCAATTTTCAAAAGGTTGTCAATGCATCTGGAACTCTCGGGTGTAGCAGATGTCCATGGGCGGCGGTATTCACTTAACATCAGGTGAACCGTCTGCTCGTTTGACAACTTTTCACATAAAAAAAGCGAGTACCCTAGTTAGTCACCTTGCAATTAGGACTGTTCTTATTGGACTTCCGTTGCGTTCGAGGCAGAGTGGGATTATTTTTTATATGAGAGGGTAGCAAGCGAGCTGACAGTTAACATATTAACTGATAACCACCGCCCTTTGACATTTGCATCACTCGTAAGGTTGGAGATAACTGAGTGTAATGGACCCTTATTAATTCCATGTGTATTGAAACTTGGGCCCGGAGATACTGAGGAAACTCTTGAAAATCAATTATAAAATGAATACAGAGCGAGATATTTGAAGTCGTTATTATTTTTCGTTAATAAAAATATTGACTTGTTTAATGGCTATTATCACGCTAGGGTTTCACTTTACTTACAAATAAAACCTGCACGGCACCAGCTCGTATACATAAATCAATGAAGGAATTTAAAAATCTAACTAAACGTGATAAAATCCGTAAAATTTCGAAGAAAGCACTTTAATTTCACAATGTAAGATTCACGTAAAAATAAGAAATCGATATATTGAACATTTTCAGGCGAGCAGGTGGTTCATCTTACTCGTATATTAAGTGAATACGACCGCTCATAAACATCTATGAAACCTAAAGGCTTTTTAAATGCGTTAACAACCTTTAAACCTAGATATCCCGCTCAACAGACGAAACGAGAAAATTTATACTTCCACTTCACGCCGGTCTTCTGTGAGGCCATGGTACTACCCTAGATGACAAATGTGTAAATTAAAAATTATTACACTGAAAATCTTTAGTTGAATGAATTCATATGGCATAATGTCATCCCTATGGATAAAATGATATTATTAGGTTTTTTAATGTCAACGAAACTCTTGCTGTACTTGGAAAGTCTTGCCTTAGAATGATGATTTTACACAATTGATAAATTGTATAATATGAAAACTCCTTTCAACGTCCGCACCTGTCAACTGTCAGGACAGAGAGAATGTAATCACTACGTTTATTGTATTACTGTGTCAGTAATTAACTTAAACTGTTCACGGTACAGTTTATAAGCTCCGCCCATCACAATACAGTTTTCATTTGGGCATTTCGGAGCGACAATAACGCTTCCATTTTTTTTTTTCGTTCTCTGGTTTTAATCGGTGCTGGATGTTTGTCTAGGTAATATTAACGTTTAAAGGGATGTGTGTTTACTGCGACAGCTACTATTAAAATTTATGTTTCTTTATATTAAGTTAATAAAAATGTCTATATCAAAGAGACAATCTTAACATATGTCGGAACAAAATTAATATGCTTTCTTCTTCGTCATTAAAACTTGACTAAAACAGTCCAATTCAGTTATTTCATAGGACAACGTCTTCAGTGTTTTTTAATTTGCAAATTTTTAAATCTAACATACATAATGTATAATTTGTTAATCGTTAGTGTTAACTAAATCAAAGAGTTCTTCCTAAAGATCCGAGGGTACTTTTTTTAATAAAACTGTTAAACTTTAAAAAACTGTTACATTTTATAAGTTTGTCTACAGTTCTACTGATTGTCATAACGTAATGTGAAAATAAAAAAAAAAACAGTTTCCTAAGATCATTACCACCGCGGCCGAGCACGTGATAAATCAGCACCTAAACTTAACAATTTCATTGGTGCCGGCACCGGGGATCGAACTCAGGTTGCTCGAGTCTATTAAATTAAAAGCGAGTGCTCATCACGACTCGATAATAACAGACTGTATTAATAAATAACAACTGCTCCATGTATAAATAATTTTACTTATTAGTAAGACTAATGTCCGTTTTCACCATCGATCCCTAACTTTAAGGAACACCTAAAAAGTGCTATTTTTGTTTTCACTGCTGCTTATGTGTCACCGTTATGAATTTAGGTGACACTGCTAATATCAATAACATATTTAAGTCAAAGTTTTAATTTGTTATGTTTTTTAAATATTTTAAGTAAATGATTTCTAAGTCAATTTATCATAATAACTGTCTATTTTTTAATTTTTTTTAAATATCTCCCGATAGAAATACCCCTATTTCTATCGGGAGATATTTAAAAAAAATAAAATAAAATAGTTGACTATTTGATAAGTTTGATCAAAAATCAAAAACACTTTCTTAATAGCAAATACTAGTAGTTTTATTTGTCTTGATGGTGAGATCGGATATAACCAGTTGCCTTGACCTTTCAACTTTCTTAGCTGATAACTTCTAAACAAAGAAAAACTTTGAAATCGCAGGTCAAAGTTCTAGCGAACAAAGAGCGTAGGCCATTAAAAAGAAGAAAACTTTTTTATTAGGATTTTTATCTATTGTACGAGCGCTTTCTCTATTGTTATTTTCAAATATTCTGTAGTACACCAAAAAGCGTGTTGAAATATAAAATATTCAACCATTATAACCAACATAACCGTCGATTTTTATCTAGTATTGACGTAATTGAACTACTTGCTTTCCACAAATAATCCATTTTTATTATAAAACGAGATATATATAAATATGAATCAATAATAGTAATGATTTAATTTTATTATAAAAAAAATATTTTTATTTAATTAAAAAAAAATTAATACGTATTTCAAGAACACCCATAATTATAAAAGGTTAAAATATCATCGAATAAACATGCATCGGTCTTAATACTAATAGATCTCATTGTGTATAAAGTAAATTTATATTAAAGCACATAAAGCACATAAATAAATTAGCACTCATTATAATACACAATGGGTACTTTTTCATTATTAAATAATTAGTTTTAACAGTGGTAATTAA